CTCGTATACATTTAAAGGGCTCAGTTTTTATAGCACTATTTAGATATGCTATAATTAGTATTACCTTCAAATTTAGAAATGAAAAAAAACTCTTTTTTAATTAATACATAGTGTTTTATTATAATGAAAAAAAATACAAAAATCAATAAGTATGCAATTTTTAAATTCTAAGTCGTAAAATTGGTTTTTTAATGTAAATAAAACAATATATGATACATTTGTCAAGTCCAAATAAAGTGAATGAATGCACACCATCTCTGGGACTTATCGACGTGCATAAATAATAAACACAAGAACCAAAATTGGATATATCAACATCACTTATATATATATATATATATATATAATAAGACATGGAAAAAAATCCTGTTGTAACCACCGTGAAAAACCCCTTATAATAAATCATATAATACTAGATTTTTCACTATTTATCTCCACAAGAACTACCCTTAAAACAGTGCTCGACTTGTGGAGGGACGCAGGGGGACGTAGTTTTTAGAAATTTTAGCGCCCCCCCTACTATTATTACGCTATAATCATAACGTTCAGTCAGTTTTGGGGACGTTCTTTTTTTTTAAAGTAAATAGAGTCACCCTTCTTTAATTTTGCCAAGTCGAGCACTGCCTTAAACATCAATCAAGTATGAAAAAAGCATTTTGTGAAGACAACACCTACTCAATATAGAAACTTTTCAAAACCAACGGTATCGATACTAGTGTTCTTGTTTTAATGTGAGTAATATCCCGGGTTAGTACCCACAAACCGGGTACTAGTATAACCGGATAATACCCAAGTTTGCGTGTGACCAACGTTTTCGTGTACCAATTACCCAAAGTTTTCGGGTACCCGATGGTTTTTGATACACGCAAATGGTCAAGCTAAGTCCTAGTTACTCGCAGATAATTAGTATTATATTATAATTATACAGCTATACGAATAAGAAATATTTTCTTGTTTAATTAAACAAAATTACAGTTTAAAAATAATATGTTTACTATTTTGTGTGAGTGCTATTAGTAATGATATTAGGTATAGTATAATAATTAGTTTATTAAAGTATAATGTTGAATACCATGTTAAAAGCTATTTCAAAGCCTATATTAAAGTCTTGTAACGACTATAGTGGCTATGATAGTTACCTTTTATGGGTATAATTACGCAGATAATAAGTAATCATAATCCAAATGGTGTAAATTTTTCAAACGTATTATATCGTATTCAACGTGGTTCAAATGTATTTAGCGAGCTGAAACATAACGGGTACACGACATTTTGTAAATCAGGCAATACCCATAAAACTAGGGTACCCGGGTACTTATCGATACTGTAATAACCCAAAAGTACAAAAATAAAATAAGTAGTAATGTGTAGGTGAGCGATGTGGTATGAATGGGTTGTTACCTTCCTCCTTGTTTAAGGGAGGGCTATCGGGGTTGAGAAGGTTCGAGAGCCGATCAGCGCAATTGTACAGTCCGCCAAGCTAAATAAAACAGCACTTACCTGTTCGCCGTAGAACTTCTGATGCCGACGCGAGGTTGAAAAAGAAAGAACAAATGCAGAATTTAATAACACTAGAACTGGATATTCTTCAACACTCGCACGAAGAACGCAAGTCGAACAGATTAAAATAATTCAATATTTTTTTATTTAATTTAAACTTAAATGAGTTAAAACAAATCGCATGTATAAATACATAAATCGCTCGTCGTTGATCTTATGATCGGCGCGCATGCACTGACGACCTAAGATCAAGGACTCTGTGTGTGTCCCTGTTATATAGGCACATGCGACGGCATGGATCTTGGGCCTGTCCTTTTAATGTAGGGATGTCAATACTACTATTGTTCGACCCGTGTCGTTCGTGCGGGTATTGAAGATACCGTTATTTATTTGAAAGGGTTTAAAAATAACGTACATATAGATTGTATACATAATAAAATATTTGTGCCGTCTTTAACAGTCGAATGATGCACATCATTACAATACTAACACATAAAATATATTATAAGATAGGTATCATGTGAATAACATAAAAAAAAAAAAACTAATCGAGTTCGTCAGTTAATCACAAGCCGATGTGGTTGACAAAAGTGTAATTGATATAATTTTCTTTGACCGAAATCACTTATGCGATTAGTGTTATAAATATTTTATTTCAGCCTTCCGGTAGATTCGATGTTTGGTATGATACAAATTTGTAATTAATTTCCGCCACCAAAAGTTGTGACTTTTTGAAGTTAATATTAAAGTCATTAATTCGAACTAATGACGATCGAATCAATAAACTAGTTTCAAACAAAGTCCTGCAGCCATTATCTATAATGGTTGTAAATCTAAAACATTTTATGATTGTTATAGATAAGATTATTGTTGTGTTAATTTTCGAATTGTTTGTAACCAAAAAAACAGTACTAGACTTCTCGGGGGATTTTGTTCGTTAAACGTATCAAGTCTCGTAGTTCAAGAATTTAAGAAAATTTGTAAGTAATCAAATCATTTTCTAGAGTGTGTATTTTACAAAGAACAGTTGATTTTTAAAGTAAGTTTCCAATATTAATTTATAAAATTTATAGTTTATTTTTTATGCAATTGTTGAACAATTACTGTTTTAAAATGATTTTGCTATTCTCTCCTTGTGTCATTTGTTCTTATTTTTTAATTTTATTTTTATATATATATATTTATTATTTTTTACTATTCAGAAACGGTAATATTACGTTTTATTAAATTATGAATTATGTGATATAATAAATTGGTACTTTGTTATTTTTAGTACCAATTGGAGATTGATAGTATAGGTTTTACAGTGAGACTTAAAATTTTTACTGAATGCTTTTATTACCATTAACTAAAAAATACATACATTCCAAAATTTTTCGAATTTTTTTAAATATTTGACTTTTATTCATAGATATTTGAGAAGTTTGTGTTTTCTTAAGTTTTTTTCATAAAATGTAGATAAAATTAATTTCATTTTATAAAATATTTTGAAAATGTATTATAGTTCCTTATACTTGTACATATTTTTCATTGGTGAATGAAAAAAATATTGACCTTAATTTGTAAAAAAAAAAAAATGTATAAGCTTTTGATTATATAATTTTGTCAAAACTATAAATACAGGAAAACCCGTCACCTATTTATGGTTGAAAATTCATATCAATTTTAATTTTTTTTCACTTGAGGCTTGAAAATGGGAAATGAGGTTTTTCATTAGATTTTTCTCTGTAGCTAAAAAAAAATTATTTACCAAAAATCACAAGACATTTTTTAAGGTTATATAAGGTTTAGGGTTATAAAATTATATTTTGATGAAATCGATATTACAACGATTTTAGTTATTTGGTTGTTATTCTATATGTATCAATCGTAGTGATCTTTATAGGTTACTGAGTAACCTACATTATAATTTTAAAGTACTTTATACTTACTTGTGCCTCTCTTTTTATTTTTATTTTTACAAAAGATAGAATATTAAAAGTTCAACCTACCTTTTTACTATATACCTTTTTCACTCAGAATCGTTTTTTCGAGTGTAATGGTACATAGATTTAAAGTTTAAAAGACCAATACAGGCATATCATTCACCCGTTGTATCTTATCCGGCCTAGGGGATTCGCCCCTTTTTTATATTTTACTACAAAATGTTTTTTTTTATTAGTTTTTATACTTTGTTTTATGTTCCTAGTAATATGATTTTTGAGTATATTACCAATTCCACTGTACAAGTAATAATACAATATTGAATATATATATATATATTTATATAAATACCATCTAGGTTATGTAATCAAATGAATAATCAATCGTATGACCATTTATTACTGCTCACTGTATTTAGTTACAACGATATTTGAAGTATACAATTGAAGTTAAATCTAGCATTACGATTATCATAATATTTTCAAACTTTTTTTTGCTATTGATTTAAAATTATGTTTTACATTATTTGTTCTTAACACTCGCTTATTTTATACTTAATCGATTAATGTCTTGATCATACAATTAATTCAAATAAGTACAGTTTAAGCCGTGGAATAATTCAGGCGTTGGACATAATGAATACTCCATAATTTATTTCGTTTTATTCCGACTCCATAGTATTCTTTAAACATGGATATCAGATTAATGGTAGATGTTTTGTAAATGATTTATTTTAAAAATAAAAAAAAAATCGTTAATATTACTATAAATAATATTGTACATTTTATTGGATTGCAGCTGAAGTACGTGCCCAGATGATAATAAAACATTAACATAATTTAAACGAAATAATATAATATTACAGATGAGTCATCCATTGATGTAACTTCATGATGTTGGAATGATGAAGTAATATATTATAGGAACATAACAGTCTATTGAGTTCATCAAAATTATTCGCATCATCAGATAGTCACTTTATTGTTATTAGTATAATATGACGACAACATTTAAAATTAAAATAACTGTTCTATACTGAATAAAAAATTACGACTGGAATACAACAGACATGTCCTAAACTTCTAAGGTATGTAAAGTGCACCCTACTTTTAAGACTATATAATAGGATTTAATATTTTATTTCTTATCATAAAATGTAAAAATATTAAAAGTAGGATTTTTACGTTGAAAAATACTGTTATAGTTAATGTAGAAATACTAATTATGCTATCGTTATTGTCATATATCATTGTAAAAAGTTTAAAAGAAATGAATTTCAATCGATTTTCGATTTATTTTTAAAAATATTTTCATTCTTTATTTTATCCTATAGTTGGACCTATAAAGTTTTATATGAATTAAATTAACCGTAAGTTAACTGAATTTTATAAATTTGATTCTAAAATTGTAAAGCAAAATTTTTTATAGAAAATCTAATGGTACTATATAACGATGGAAATCAAATTCTAAAACAGCATTAATTAGTTAATATATAAAAAAAAAAGTGGACATGGAAGTTTTTGAACGATAGATCGGATTACCTCCACGTATAATATATAACTTTACTTTTTCATGTATTATTTGTTTCCTTTATCCCTTAACACCTTTGTAATGCATGATCCCAACGGTGATGCGTCTGCCGTTTTATCCATTGTCACACACTGACCAATTTTCATGTCAAATATTTGTCTCTGCAATTCCTTTATCTCTTCCAATTGATTTTTAATTAGCTCATTGAGTTGACATTTTTCTTTATTTTTGAATGCCGATTGCGTTTCAAAATTTTTCCTCTCTGTCTCTCGCAATCCACGTAACTTTGTCATCATTGCTGTCGTCGATTCTTTCGCCTCCTTAATTTTTTTAAATTTCTGTAGTAACTGTTCTTTCGTCGATTCCAACACCGTTATTACTTCTTTTTGTTCATTTATATGATTTTCTAGAGTAGTATATTCTTTTTGTGTTTCGCATAATTTTGTCTTGGAAGCGACAAGGTTTGACGTTATTGTAGTAATCTCTTTATTAAGCTTACAAGCTTCCATCTCTAATTTACATTTTTCTTTGCGAGAATTATCCAGAATAGTTTTCAACGCTGCTTCTGATTCTTTAACTAGATTTTTGAGTACTTTGATTTCCGCTTCTTTACATTTTATTTTTTGTTTAACCACATCTACTTCCGCTGACTTTTCACTCAACTGCGTCTGCAGTTTCGTATTCTCGACTTGGATCAACCTGTTGAGTTTTTCAATTTTAATTTTTAACTCGTTTATTGACGATATAAAACATTCTTTTCGATTTTGTTCCATACACATAGTTTTATCCAGTTCAGTGTGTTGAGTTATTATTTCAGCCAATTTTTTTTGGACACAAACCATTTCTTTATCTATGTCTTTTTGTTCCAATTGTGCTGTACATATCTTATCGAGAAACAGTTGTTTCATCTCCAACGTATCAGAATGTTGTTTTTGTAGTCCTTCTGCATCCTTTAATTTGGCCGATTCAATGCATTTTAGTATGTTAACGGATTCTTTCTGTGCGTCTAGTTTTTTATCAATCTGACTAATCTCACAACACAATTGATCATGTTCGTTTTCGAGTTTCTCTAGCTCTTGTTTTAATTTATTATAGTCATGATGTAACGTATTATTTCTATTTATTAATTCATTAAAATTGCACGTATGCTCTCGTTGAACTTCATTCATACATTCCCGTTTTTCACACAATATTCGTCGAAGTTCGTCTCTTTCAGCCATTAAGTTTTCTTCGCAACAATTTGTGTTTTGACATTCCATATTTAATTTGAATTTTGTTCGATGTTAAAAAATTAAATCACTATTTTTTAATAAATTTTTCTTGTAATAAAACTGCTTTGATTTTTTTTAATAAATATAAACAGGCATTTCGTACACTTTGTTATAATTTATATTATTGGCCAGTAAATATAAATTATTGTAGTAAACATCATTGACAATCATATTCGAGAATTTATAAAAAAAATATAATACATGCTACTTCTAATAGATTTAGTAATATTTATTCTATTACTTAAAATTCTTAATCAGAAATTAGATAGTATTTTTTTTTTATTGAACCTAGTTTTATTATTATCCTTGTTTATATCAAATAAAAAAAAAAATATTTTTTAGGTTTCAAAGGTTCAATTTCTATTTGTAGTGATAAGCAGTAGTGTATTTTAAAATTGTCTATTGGGGTGGTCGAGAAGATTTCTATTTTTTGGGTGAGGGGTTGAGCGAGATCCGCTCCTACCCATAAATATGCCACTGATGATAAGTATGTCATAGTTGCTTCATTAAATGCAAATTAAATAATAAAGTACCTTATAAACTATTTGGTATAATAACCAAAAATTATTTATTTAAAATCCTAGATACTTAAGATGTATTAAGTTGGTATATTGTTTATAATTCTAATACAAAATACGTATTATAACGTAATTAAAATAATACTACCTATATTTGGTCGTAGAAATATCACATAAAAAGTTCTTAATGTCATACATTTATTAAAATATTGTGTTGAGTTCCGTCTAATTAATTTAGTGTTGATGATGAGTGTGAAGGTGTTTCAAATATCAAATCAATTTTCGATTAATTACTGTTTACTTTAAAATATTCTAAGTCCAAAACATTTATTTATTACGTAAACTGGCGTGAAGCTGCTTGCTGTATTCGGACTAAAACATAACTGAATATGGGTTTGTTCGGGACCTCTTTGTATACCTCGATCTCGTGTGAACTCATCGTCCTTTGCCTTACCACTGTCCAATACAGGATGTAGCTAATGATATATAATTCCATGTATGGAGTTGTTTCCTTGTCAATCTAGAATATGATTTATGTCTAATCATTACTGTGCGCTTATATATATTTTAATATATTTATCTACGTGTAAATATTTTGTACCTATGTGGTCCATACCTACTCACTATTGTGTGCTCATCTACTGATCAATATTTGAATACAATATATAAATGATCACACCTGCTGACTATTGTGTTTCTAATAATTGATTCCTGTGGCTTTGTTATTAATTTAATCTTTTAATTATTGTTTTATACCCAGGCATATACTAATGTATGTCCGTAAGAATTGTCTTAAATGAGATTTTATTGATAATTCAATAATTAAAAACGTATGGTTAAGGCCGTCCATATACGAAGCGATTAACATGCGACGCCATATCCTAGTAATGTGAATGGAGATCCATCAACAACACGATTTGCGTTGTACGGGTCGCACGTAAAATTTATTACTATATGTACTTATATAATTATAATTATATAGTATATATCACTTATATAGTGATAATTATTACAAACATCAATTAATAATTGATAATAATCGAATGATACATAAACAATGACAATAATAATCGCACGAAAATCGCTTCATGTGTGCACGCTCGTACTGTATACATGCATGAATCGTGTTCACATTGCGTCGCGTATCAATCACTTCGTATGCGGAAGATCTGAGACTGTGAAATAACATTCGTTAATTGTTAGTACAATTTGTATACAAATTACGTATAAAATATTGAAAATGTTAACCTTTAATAAGACCTTGTGGTTTTTTTTTTTTTTTTGTAAATTTATTGTTTCGTCACATAGTTTTATACTATTAGTATTAGGTTTAGTTACTTGTTTTATCTGTTCGAGAAAAAATTAAATATATACATTTTTAAATTGATGTGAAGTTAATGAAATCATTACTGTAATTTGCTTTATATGAGTAAAATTCAAAAACTATTTACAAATAAAACAATTTCATTAAAAGTTAAGAAACAACTCGGACTAGGTAATAAAATAAATCAATATGTCTATATACTATAAAAGTGGAAAGAAATTTATCGAAATATTCAACTGTATGCTATCAATCATGAACTACTAAACACGAAGTCAAAAAATCACAAGATACCTATTTGCATCAAAACTTTTCATTGGCAATCTCAAATTGCATATAACGAGGAACTTGATCAATTTAAAAATAGAATTATTTTGTATTTTAATATAGGACTATGTTTCCCAAACTTTCGTGATTCAGTGTTTTCTTCTCATTGTTGTCCATTATAATTTTTAGAGGTCCTTCTTATATTTTTGCCACTTTTTACATCCAATAGTACGTATTATTTTAATTCTTCTATAATAATAAAATAAAAAACCTGGGTCTATTTACAGTAAAATCTAGACATTTGTCTGGAACACACTATACTTATGATTATATTCGGCACGATTTTCAAGCAATATAAAAAAATCTATTAATCCTTTTAAACTGTTAATATATTTCTGATAAAAACAATTAGCCAATGGTGAGGCTATTTTGTCCCAAAATAATATGATTAAAATATATAGTCTTTGATTTTTAAAAAATCTAGTAAAACCACGAATGGTAGGCATTTTCAACTTTTAAATTATATTAGTGGCGCTCTCTGTACTCCAAACACTTGATCCGTTATTATAGTTGTTTAAATCGACAACAGATGTCTGGTCAAAAATAAATATGAAAACATAAGGTCGACTGAAACGAACTAACGATTTCGATTTTTTTTAATAACATTGAAATAAAAACCCAAGGGCTAACAACATGAACTTGATTCACATGTATTCGGAACCATTGCAAGGTAAAAGTAAGACACAACTGTGTTTTTCGAATGGGTACTTACGTTTTTTTTTTTTTTTTTTTAATAAAACTATGTAGAAATATAAATTATAAATCATACCTAAGTACCTAATATTATTGTTTGTGATTGGTATATTTTAATAAAGAACTGTCATAAATTCGACAAAAGGAATAAGATATCAAAAACAAAATATATCCTACTTAATAATCATCAAACTTATATTATGTTTGGTATGCCGTACGTGTGGTTTAAAAACCACTTTAAACATTTTCATTACAGCCAACATTCGTCATTTTTCGGAGAAAATTTATCTCGTTGTACACGAATTGAAAATTATTTAAAAGTTGAAATACAATAAAACATTTTCGTTGTGTATGGTAATTGTTAGTTGATCAATTTCATCTACCAACAAGCTTATCTTTCTCTTCGTTTATTATGTCTGTAACTTGCAAATATGAAAAAATTAAAAAGGTTAAGTCAAGTTCAGAGGTTTATTTCGATTCGAATTTTTCAACTGCAGTTTGTTAGCTTAGTAAGTTTTATTAACCGTTGTGAAAATCTGATATCACGGAACAATATTATGATAACGTTGCACGATTACCGAACGCGTTTGGTGAAAACAAAATGTTAATTATAACACGATCGGAGATCGGAACGCGTATCGTACGTATTATAAAATTATACATATTATGTTTATATATCGCTTATGTGAACATTTTGTCAACGTGAAAACTTTTCGGACGACGAAAGTTAAACTATCGGCTTTTAATCATTCCATCCGCGGCGGGTCACCGTAGCATCTTGTCGTAAGCGCTCGTTTATCGCTTATAATTTGAGCAAAAACGTCTTAGGAATCTCAAATTCACGCGACATTGTGATGTAAATAATATTATTTGTGACTAATGCCCGTTCGCAGCTGCTGCTTACGTTGCACTCGCATAATATTTGAAAGCGTTCGCGATTCGCGAGAGCTTCTGTATACGATTACAAAAACGTTTTTTTGATTATGCTGTTACCTATTATTTTCCATATTGTATGTACATATATTTTGTATTTTTTTTTTTTTTTAAGGCTTACTACGCCCGTCGAACATTATAACGGATGATAAATCAATTATATTACCTGCATATACCATACATATTTTTTGGTACCGCGAAGATTATTCTTAAAGTTCTTTTCGAATACTCTTTTATGAAAAGTATTCGAACAACGAGGTTTATTCCCGAAATCAATTTTCCATTCATAACTTAATTTTTATATTATTCGTTGAACAAGTCTTTTTGGTTGGCATGATTTTCAGTGCATTATAAATAACACGATTATTCTTTGTGGTTGATAATTGCCATGAGGTATTAGAAATGTAATCGAAAAATATAAATTATAGAAATTGCTCACAATGAATATAAGTGATAACTTTTTTAAATAATATCTAAACAATATAATAATTTGTAAGAGTATTCGACAGAAAAACCGTGATTAAATACGTTGCAATATTGTCTATTTTTGATTAAGAGTCGATAATAATAACATATTCAAGTTGATGAACAAGATTGAATCATACGAAACGCCAAAACTTTTTTATTTTATGACTTATTTTTAGATTTTTGATTGGAGTAAAAAGTATATTGTATTAAAATTAAATTAAATATGATACGTGTATTGATTCTTAATGCTAATTTATACTAAAGAAGTAAACTTCAATATTTTTCTCATAGAATGCAATTACTAAGTAAAATGGTATATCTTCCCAATATTGACTATACTTGATAATTACTAACATTAGAAAATGGTTTATTTGTGTATTGAATTTTTCTTTCATGATCTATAAATTAACTGTCAACTATTTTAACATAATATCTCATTCATCATGGACTATTATAAAGAGAAAAGTTCAACGACAAAACACTCGTTTTCGACATAATTCGATACGACAGTTACTCCTTGGATTAGATGTGGGGCAATAAATTAACACAAATAACAATATTTATTTTCTCATGATATTTTTCAATTTTATTTTCACAATAATCATTATTTATTGTTCAAAGTGTTCGCCACGTGTTTGCCATACGCATACATCTATTTTTTTAATCCATGATGTATGTAATGGCGATTGAAATATTGCGGGTAACTAAGTGTTTTTGTTTGTACTACC